TAAATGATTTTGAATAGCACTAAAGATTGAACTAAAACTAGTGCCACCATTTGCAGTTAAATCTTGTTTTTCAACTGATTTTATTGTTTTTGTTGTATCAGCTTTTGTATTATAAGTAAATAATGGATATTCAATTTGTGTACGCTTATAAATATCACGTAACACTTCACAAACATTACGAATTGGACTACCACTCATTGAACCTGATATATCCACACAACATATTATATTATTACCAGATGATGCATCTACTTTTGGTACTTTAGCTTCAACGTAGTAATAGTCACCAATCATAGTGAATGGAGCTTTGAAATATGTAGCCATAATTTTAGCAACCACAGAATGGATTGGAAAGTTCAAATCTAGTTTAATAAAAATAAAATTGTTCAAATCAATATATGTTTATTAACATTTTAGTAAGAATAGTTTTTATTCAAATCGACTCTTGTTATATATTTTTATCAAATGAACAACTTGATATAGAGTAAAAAAACGAAGAAAACTTTTTCTATTCCATTTGAAAAAGCTCTAAGACATAACAAGTTGTATCACTTTACTGACCGATTGATTCTCTCACATGTTTTCAAAAGCAAATACGGATCTAACAACGTAATAGATTTTATATTAAGTAAACACTGATTCACAGTAATTGATATTGATTTCGTCAGTTTTAGATGAAAAGAGTGGTTTTTGACTATCTATTCAAATATGTTTTAGAGAAATATAATTAATATTTGCAGACGTTCCTACCAGGGTCTATCAGAGTAAACGGGGATCTACTACTATTAACGAGGATGTAGGTGTATCTACACCCACCTGTACTTCTGCTCCGCTGTAGAATAATGTGTTTTTACGATTATCTAAATAATATAATAACCTGAAGTTTTATTTGCATACTTATTTTTTTTAATGTTTCAAAGAAGCAGACAATAGAATATTTTTGCATTTTGCTCATGTTATTTAACGGAACAGCACACAATAAAAAAAACACATCATCATTATTCGTACATATCAGACCATGTAATTAGAATTAAACAAAAACTGCAGATATACTGACGATCAATCAGCACTTGTTTGATATCTAAAAGTATTGACTATCGTCTGATCGTCATTCTTCTACAGATTATCGACAATTGTTCTCTGACTAGCAATCGACTGCTGGTATACCAGCCATAGCAAAAACACATGTGTGGCATGGGTAAATAACAAAATTTGTGACTTTCAAAGCTTTGTCCTTCTACGAATACTATTTGTTATTCTAGATACTCTTTCTTGAAGAAAATGAATCCAGCTATAATTATACTTCTAGTCTCTATTTGTAAAAATAGACTTGTATCATTAAATTTTTTTCTGTATGTATATCTTTGAATAATTTTTCGGTTGGAGCAATTTATTTATATTAAATACATAGAAGCTCCAAACACTACGTTTATTAAAAGCGATTTAAGAAATATGTTTCGGTTGTTGCTATGTGACAAAACCAATCGTATTTCTTCGTTCGTTTTTAATTTCTATAGTATGTTTGAGGCCAAGGTTTTTGCTCAGGTATTGAAGAAAAGATATTTTATATTCTAAAAGAATCATTATGTTTTAAACAAAAAATTCCTCTACTTACAGTTATTAAGAAAGTGACGCCTTGTTTTTCAGTTGCATAAAGTGTCTCTTATTTTATATGCAATGCAATATTGCATAGCACAGGGTAATTAACCATCACGCCTTTATCAAACTTTCCAACAGTTTTGTAATGTCACATAAAACATTTGCTTTTGTTTTCATGTATCAAGCACCTTTAAAAATAAACCCCGATAACAGATATGGTATAACGTCTAGGACCAATGACTCATGCTTTCTATGGCAGATTTTAAAACTACTAATGCACTTTGATTATAAATATCGGGCAATGGCTTCTTTACACTGTAAAAAAGTAGCTGATCTACCGAAATTTGAAGGTTTGGTACTGTTTTACGAAACGATTTTAAGTTCCCTGGCGTGCAAATTGTTTCGTAATTCTCATACAGAACCTTTTTAAGTTCCGAAAATTGAAGAAGGTTTCGAAGATTTACTACGAAACCCGCTAGAAGTTCCGTACATCGCGTACTGAACTTTCGGTAGTTTCGTATCTTTTGTAAAAAAACCACTGACAGTTCCGTATAGCTTTTAAGGATTCCGTATAAGTTCTACGAAACTATGAATGGCTTCGTAGAACTTATACAGAATCTTTAGATGCTCTACGAAACTACCAACGGTTTCGCAACATGTATACTGAACCTTCAGATAACTGGCGAAGCTGTTAATGGCTTCGTATAAGATATACGAAACCATTATATGGCTTTCGCAACTATCAATCGTTTCGTAAAATGTGTGCGGAGCCTTTACAACGCTTACAAAGCTATTCATGGCTTCGTAGAAGATATGCCGAACGATTGGATCATTCACGAAACTATCGATGGCTTCATATCAGATAGATGAAACCTTTAGATGTTCTACGAAACCATCAATGGTTGCGAACAATCGGTCAAAAGAAGTCAGCTCCAAACTGCGTAAACTCCAAAGGACCCCGCCGGATAAGTCGACAAATCTGGCACTCCTCCAGACAATGTTCTAATTAGTTTAAAAAGAAAGCCCGAAAATTTTTACGTAGTTCTATGTATTTTTTCGTGTAATTTCTTTTTGCCAAATTGATTTCTGAACGGGCACTCTGTCTGAGGGGTATTTTCATTTTATATACATTTTTTCATCATGATAAATTTATAATATTGACTATTAGAATTCCTTATTGGTTGATTGTTTTCTTAAGTGTCATATACCAAAAGATGCAGCAAATTTTGCTCTACAAAATGACTATAAATGATCTATATTTAATGCAGACAGAGGATGAAAATCAGTTACATCAATTTATGACAGATATGCGAGTTTTAGTGGTTTTTGAAAAGAATTGGTTTCAGTGTAATGCACCGTTCTTCCTTATAATTCAAATGAC